GGCGGCTGCTAGTTTGGCTGAGCTATCTATCTTTTTATAAGGAAAAGCAAATCATGGATGTTCCTGCACGTGGTTCCCGCTAAAACTAGGGGAAAAATCATAAAATCAAGGGTAAAGAAAACATATAGTTCTCCAATTACAGGATTCTGCTTTATTAGTCTCTCAACTATTAAAAATTACAAAATAGTCTATCGACTATAGGTCGTTATTTTATTAAGTTCTTTAACAATTAAAAGTTATAAAATGATCACTCGATTATTCATATGTTCTAAACTTGTCCTTTTTCGTTTAAAAAAATGATGTCCGTATGAGTTAAACGTTAATTTGTTGATTAAGATATGATAAGAATTATATTTTAATGATGTTTATTGGCAATGTCGTTGCTTTCAAGCACTGACTCGACAACATAATACAAATAAAGAGTCGATCAAAAAATACATCTAAAACGATTTTGGGATCAAATTTTATTATATCATAGCTAACATATTAACGTCCAGCTCAGATGATCATCAATTTTTTAATATAAAAGGAAAAGTTTAAAACATATGAATAATCGGAAGATATTTTATAACTTTTAATAATAAGATAACTACACAAAACAACGACTTATAGTTTGGAGGTCATTTTAATTTTTAACTATTAAATAACTCAACAAATCAACACCCTATAATTTATAGACCATTTGTGTACTTTACCTTAAATTTAATTGAAAAATAAAAGTATTATAAGGTAAAAGTAAAAAAAAAAAATATGTATGTAGCCCTCGATATTCTCTTGATAGTTAGATGCACGTGATTTACAGCAGGATTTTGACCCTGCTTTGTCTTTTATGTTGGCGCTTCTATAGGCTTGCTTACTTGGGGTACGGTCAACAATCACAAATTATGGGGCTTCGAGTTCCGAAGTGTTTGGAACATTTGCCCAAAACACAGCCGTTTTCTATAATTTTTACTTAGATTTTATTAACAGTGTTTTAAGGAGTTATTTAAAATATATGATCCTTGGAGATACTATAAATCCGAGATTTGTCATCTTACAAATTGTCTCATACATAGACATCTTCATCGACCGTCATATCACACTACATTACATTTCAATTAACTTTTTGGGTCCATAAATTTTTAAGTGTAGAGTCTAAAATTTTGAGGCCTCGTGATGTATCACAAGTTATATATATTAGTTGACGAACTTGCTCATTTGATTTAAGATATGTTATGTTTGAGCAAGGAGGACCCAAAATTATATATTCATATATAACTAAAAAAGATAAATTATTTATTTAATCACTCACATATTATTTTACTTTTATTTTGGCTATCTAATTATATTTTTTTAAAATCATATTTATCGTTAAATTTTATCTTTTTGGTACCCACCATTAAAAATTAATGGTGATGTTGATGTGGTATTTTTAAATTATTTTTTCACTTTCCATTTAATTATTTTTTAATATATTTTTTTTGAGAAGATATAAAAGGTTAAAATCTAACATATACCCGATGATCATACTTATTTTGTACGAGTAGTTGTGTTTTTAATGATTTTTTAATAAATATCTTTTAACTCTCAGTAAAACAAAATATCTTTTTAACCCAGTTTTAAATCCTAAAATCTCAAACTCTAACCATCAAACCTTAAACCCTAAACTCTAAATCATAAATCATATTCTAAATCTTAAATCTTAGATCATGAATCCTAAACTCTAACCTTAAAACTAATTTACTATGAGTTCAAGAAATATTTATTTATGAGTTATAAATTTTAATTAAATATAAGCTATTTATTTATTTAAATCGTTCTAGTTTTTGGTCCCTCCCACCTAATGGTTCGTTCAAATTAAATATCGACGGAGCCTGCCTAATGGTTGGCTCAAATTAAATACTGATGGAGCCTGTCGTACTACTACGAGGTTGGTCGTGTGTGAGGGTATCATCCGGGATCACAAAAGGGCTTAGCTCGTCGAGTTCTCTAAAACATAGGACGTTGTTCAGCATTGGAGGTCAGTTTTGGGACATTTTCGAAGGATTATAGCTAGCTTGGGACTTAGAGTTATGCCAACTTTTTTTTTAATCAAAACGGACCGCTGAGAGATCATTTTGGTCCTTAAATATGATTCAGGTGTGGGATCTCCAATGCTGCACCATATTAACGAGCTAGCGGATCGCAATTGGGAGGTTCAGTTTACTTATGCAGCACGAGAGCTCAACCGCGTGAGGGATTGCATGACGAAACTAGCGTGAAACGAGTCACTTGGATTTCATACATTTCATAAACCACCTGCAGAGATTGATCGAGCCCTACCTTGCTTAACTTCTAACGAGTTTGTTTTAGTCATTGTTTCTCTTTTCCACTTAAAAAAGTTTATATACAACCCCTTCTTTTTGTTTTTAGGGCTACATATTTAGTATCTAATTTATTACTTTTGTTCTATTTTGGTATCTAAACTTTTTTTTAAAGCATACCCAACGTTAATTTTTGTTTCGTTTTAAATCCAACCATTAAAAATTTAACAGAATAGGCATTTTATAGATAAATTACATTATTCATCACTCAAAATCTTCTCAATCCTACTTTGGTCATTGAAGTTTAATTTTTTGTAATTTAATCACCCAACTTTCAAATTACATCTATTTTAATCACTCTAACTTATTTTATTAATATTTTTATGACGTGACATCTTTTATTATTATTTTATTAATATATGATTAACAGAAAAAAGGAATGGATAAGTTGGGGAGGTCGATAAGAGTGAGGCCATGACAATTGGTTGAGCGGTTTGTGATTTAGAATTTGTGGTATAATTTTTAGGTCTGGGTATAATTTTAGATTTAGTTTTATTTTAATTATATATTAATAACATAATAATAAATTTATCATGTCATAAATAATATTAATATAATAAATTAGAGTGATTAAAACAAAAATAATTTGAAAGTTGAGTAGTTAAATTGAATTTTTAAAACTTTAATGACCAAAATAGATTCGAGGAGATAGTTGAGCGATGAATAATTTAATTTACCCATAAAAATGTCAGTTATGTTAAATTTTTAATGGCGTAGTACAAAATGGAAACAAAAAATTAATGACGGGTTACTAAAATAAAATAAAAAAGTAAATTATGTATGATTTTGAAAAAAAAATAAAAGTTTAGGTACTAAAACAGAATAAAAATGATAGTTTAGATACTAAACATGTATTTTACCCTTGTTTTTATGTTCAATATATACAATTAATTAAATTATTTTTTGCATTTTTTTACAATTTATTAGAATTTTCATTATTATTAAAATTATTTATAATTTATAATAGTTTATACTATTTTTAATTTCTAAGAAAAATATTAAAGATGGAGATTCGAATTTTATTTGACTCGACTCGTAAAGTTTACGGATAACTCGTTTAATGAAGAAATAGATTAAAAAAATAAAAATGTATGATAGATACTATTTATACAAAGGATTTTGAGTTGAACCTACTGAGGGTGTGGGCAGAGCCTCACGATATGATACATTGTTATTTTTTTTTAGATTTCAAAATTCGTAACTATAAATATATGGGTAAATTATATGTATAATACTTATTTTGATTAATTTTACTACTTAAAATTTAATTTTTTTTTAAAATTATACATAAAATTTAGTTTTTGTTCATTTTAGTATCTATATTCAAAATTTAATGTTAAATTTTAAAAGGAATTAAAAATTTAGGTACTAAAATAGATCAAAATTAATAGTTTAGGTAATAAACACGTTAAGTTTTTAACGATTAATATTAAAATTAAACAAAAACTAAACGTTAGATATGATTTTTTAAAAATTAAAATATTTAAACAGATCAAAACTGATAGATCATGTACTAAATACATGGTTGCCTTAAATATATAAATATATTTGACATTACCCTAAAAAGTAATAAATTGAAGCTAATTATATGTTTTCATACTAAAAAACTTAACAATGATTAGTGGGATCATAAATATTAAAATCAAAGAGATTTAATTGATTATAATTGTTTTTGACAAATTTTAATTTTATTTTAAAGAGATTCTAAGGGAAGAAAATTGAATACTTCTAGCAAATGTAGAATTGAACACAGATATATATATAAGTTAAATAGAAATAAAAAAATTTAAGAAATTTAGAAATTTCATCGAATAAAAAAGAGTAAAGTACATAAATGGTCCCTCAACCATAAAATATTATTTTGTTGAGTTCATTTACTATTAAAAGTTATAAAATAGTATTTCGACTATAGGATGTTGCTTAGTTGAGTCCCTCGGCTATTAAAAGTTATAAAATGATCATCCTACTATTCATATATTCCAAACTCTTCATTTTTCGTTAAAAAATTGATGATATTCTAAGTTGAACGTTAACATGTTAACTGTGATATGGTGGTCGTTTGAGATTTTTAGATAAGATTTAATAATATCTCAATCAACATATTAACGTTCAACTCAGATTTCCGTTAAGTTTTTTAATAGAAAATGGATAAGTCTAGAACGTATGAATAGTCGAGTATCCATTTTACAATTTTTAATAATTGGATGACTCACACGAACATAAGAATTGTTATTATTCATTGATGACCCGAGTTCAAGCACCATAGTTATCAGGAGTGTGAGTGTTTAATGTTAAAAGATTGAATTATATCTGAACATATAATATCTTATGCTTACCCAAATTAATAAAAAATAATAATCAAAAAATTTAATAAAATAATATCTTACCATTAGAGATTATATACTTTATCCTAAAAAAATATATTTAAAAAATTGATAACGAAGCAGAAGCACCGAAGCGGAAGCCAAGAGTCAAAGCCCAGAAGCAAAACGGAGTGGGCTAGTGAACGAAACGGCGGGTACAACAAACGCTGTCTAGTCTTTTCCTTCACTTTAAAAGTTCTGCCATCCTTTTCATGCTTGTCTTCCACTTCCCTTATTCACAGCTTTATTTCTCTGCCCATTTTACCTCTGCCACTACCAAACCCCAAACAACGCGCTCTCTCTCTCTCTCTCTCTCTATCTCAAAAAGAATCTCTGGGGACTCTTCGCTTTGTTTGTTTTTTACTATTATTGTCTTTAGAGTTTTATATTTCATTGAATCCTTCACTTTCACGCTATAAATACTCTCTCCCTTCCTCTCTTCCGTCTCTCTCTCTCTCTCTCTCTCTCTCTCCCTCTGCCGGAGATTCTTTTGTTGATTCCGGTAAGCTTTCGCTCTTCTGATTTCGGGGAAACGTTGTCGTTTTCTTCTCCGCTCGTTTTATTTTTTTGCGCAGAGTTTCATGCACTGTGGAATATCGGGACCTGGAAATTGATGCTGTTTTGACTGTTATTTTTTTTTTGGCGAGTTTTGTTATCGAATTCAGAAGAAGACGATAGGATGTCAGTGCCACGACGTTATTGTCGTTTCTCTGAGTTGAAACTCGAATCAGTAACAGAGTTCTTTTCTGAGCTCAAAATTTTTCACAGCTTAATTTTGAGATCAAAATGATTGATATAGTTGTTGTTTTTGAATCAAAAAGAAAATGATCCGAGTTGTAGCCGAGTCATTATTCATATTTTGCTTTCCAATTTCTAAAAATCACATCTGCCTTTTCTACTTTGATTTCAAATTTTCGTCGCCTTCGTTTCCGGTAAATCGAATCACCGCTTATTTGGAATGCAAACACAGTTGGTTCGAGTATGATCCGAGTCAAAGCTCGTCAGAACTCGATATAGTTTCGGCTTCAGCTTTTTTTGAAAATATTCATCGTCATTATTTTAATTCGAATATTTTACATAATGAAAAAAACTAATTTTTTGGATTATATTACTGATTAGTTTGATAATTACAAAGCGCAGATTAAGATTTGGTGACCAAGCGAAGGAGGACAATGAACGCGCAACTTTTGGAGATTGAGCCGAAGGAACTTAAATTCCAATGTGAGTGCATAATTGCTTGATTGTCACTTTACTTTTACTGCATAAAGTATTTTTTACAATAATTGGATTCGATAAAGTAACTTTTAATTCTCTTATATTTTTTCTATCATATGAAAAAAGTATTATCTGTTAATTTAGATTTATTATTTTTTGTTTAAAACTATTTATTTCAACACTTTTTTTTTTGAAAAAAATAAATAATGTAATAAATACAATTCGTGCATAACTGAATTAGTTCATTGAATCTATCGGATTCGCAATCAATATTTAGAATATTTTACTTCCCCCATTCTGCAAAAGATAAAATCATAGAAAAGAATGACATTTTTTCTTCATTTTTGTGGCATTTATTTATTTTTGTAGGTTTGTTGTGAAAAAAACTCGAATGGGTTGGTTAATGTATTCATAAACTTTAGCTTTGATATTTATTTCTATTTTTTACCTAAATTTATTTATTTATTTATAATTGAAATTTATTCTTTTGATTGACCATTGATAGTTATATTGAAGAAACAATGCTCCTGCTCGGTTACGCTTACAAATAACACTAACCAATATGTTGCTTTCAAGGTCTGAACTCTGAACCTTTACTTTCTGTTTTTTTCTTCTTTCTTTAAAAAGATTGAACTTATGTCACGCTTTTTCGCAATTTGTAAGGTTTATTTCATGGGATAGAATATTTTAGAATGCTGGATTCCGATGTAATTGCAGCAATGGTATTTTGGCAGGTTAAAACCACCTCTCCTAAGAAATACTGTGTGCGGCCTAATGTTGGCATTGTTATGCCAAAATCAACCTATAATTTTACAGGTATGGAGTTTTTGTACTTGAATGTTTTATGATTTTATGTATGTGCATATGACAAATGATTTTGAAAGCTTAAGTGGCAACAAAAATTGCATACTTTTAACAAACATCATCCAGAACTCTCGACCTTTAGGACAATCTGCCGTTATGTCTCAGTAGTTGGACAAGTGAATCAAAGTTAATAATGCAATTTATTAATGAAATATAGTTATGAACTTCTCGTATGATGTTCGTTATAATTTTTGTCCTCTGTGCTATAGTATATATGCTCACCTTAGTCTTTTCCATTTAGTTACCATGCAAGCTCAGCGCGAAGCCCCTCCTGATATGATATGCAGAGATAAGTTCTTGATTCAAAGTACAGTTGTCCCAGAAGGAACAACAGATGAAAACATTACATCTGCCACAGTAAGTGATTTTCTGCTCTGCTTGTGCTTTATTTGATAATAGTAATTGGCATGTGACTTACACTCACTGTGTTTGCTTGACAGTTTGTCAAGGATAGCGGAAGATATATTGAAGAGAATAAGCTTAAGGTTGCCCTTATCAGCCCTCCGCATTCTCCAGTTTTATCACCAATTAATGGGAAAATGAATCAGGAAATGGGTTATGATAGAGTCGGGATTCCTGCACCCCTTCCGATGGTTAGATCAGCTTCATCACATCATTTCACATATATACACTTGCAATTTTATGTACAACTGTCTTATCTTTAAAGGAAAACATTATTCTTTTATTTCTGAAAGGAATTTTTGTTCGAACATGTGATTTAAAAACAAACTTGAGTACATTGATGAAGCTTATACCGTTAAGAAAATAACCGTGTTCTCTTTTCTGTGTCGGGTTGCGAAGGTTCTGGAGTCAAAGATGATAAATGTTGAGGATTTAAAGCCAACAAAGGATGTAGATTGGAGGCCAAGGAAGGATACGTATTATGAGGAGGAATTAAAGCCGAAGACGGATGCAGAGCTGAATCCAAGTAAGGATATGTTTTTTGAGGAGGAATTAAAGCCGAAGAAGGAAGCAGAGCTGAAGCCAAGTAAGGATACGTACTATGAGGAGGAATTAAAGCCAAAGAAGGATACAGAGCTGAAGCCAAGTAAGGATAAGCTCTATAAGGAGACATTAAAGCCAATGAAGGAAGCAGAACCGAAACCAAGTAAGGATATGATCTATGAGGAGGAATTAAAGCCGAAGAAGGATGCAGAACTGAAACCAAATAAGGATATGATCTATGAGGAGGAATTAAAGCCGAAGAAGGATGCTGGACTGAAGCCAATGAAAGACGTTATCGGTGACGACTTCAATTTAATAAAAGAAACTGATCTGAAGCTGAAGAATAATTCTTTCAATAGCAAGGAGTTAAAGCCAGTGAAAGATTTGGAATCAAAGCCGATGGATGATATTCTTGATACCAAGGAACTGAAGACAGTGAGGGTAAAGGAATTCAATGGATTGAAGGATGACGAGGTGAAAACATTGAAGACTGTGGAGGATCTAAAGTTTGCTAAAGATGTGGACGAAATGAAATTAAAATTAAATGACCTCGAGTTTAAGCTAGGCAAGGTATGTTTGTTAGTACTAAAAACAGAACATTGCTTGACGATGACAGTTAAAAAGAAGGTTGCATTATTTTCTGCCACCCTTCAATTTGAATCTGTTTCTCAGGCTGAAGCAATCATTTCAAAACTGACAGAGGAGAGGAGCCTGAGCACTCAGGAGAGGAAGGCCTTACAAGAGGAACTGGTAAGTTATTCTCCTTTGCATTCTTCTTTTACTAAAATCATGTCATATTTTTCATATATAATAATGTTCAATCATGTACAGTCAGTTCTCCTAGTGTCGTTTTTAGTGTGAACCGTAATGCCACTTTTCGCCGGGTGATTTTCTAGGTTTTTTTAACTTTTGAACCGATAATGATGAATGTTCATCATGTGCATGCCTAGGTGATCATGGGTCGGGTTACATTTTTGGCTCACCCACTCCAAAATCTGATTTGATTTTTTAGGTTTAAACCCGCACCAAATAAAAAGAGGTATTATTGGAATTATCCTTGAATATATAAACGATATGTTGGGTTGTATTGAGTTTTTTTACCTTAAATCTGGCCGTCTTTAAAAAAATTGACCTGACCCGAACCCAGATTTTAATAAAAGAAAAGAAAAACGACCTGACTGGGTCGGGCCCGGGTGAAATGCACATCCATGCCCTCAACCGTCGTCTCTTTCTCCCTTTCTTAGAGTAAGCCATTTACCATCTCATAATTGTTTTGCAGTTTTACCCCTTAAGTAAATCGACTGTATACTTATGCAGGCGGTGTTGAGGAAAAAGAGTGATGTGAGAAGAGTTCAAGTGGGATTCCCTTTCCTATTTGTGATAATGGTAGCACTGGTAAGTGTGTTTCTGGGATATCATACGCACCATTGACAAACAATACTCTTTTTTTTTATTGTGATGCCGTTATAAGAAACAGTCATACAGGGGGGGGGGTTTGTTAATAGTCTGTAGAAATAGAGTTTTAAATATTTTACTGCTCATATGAAGTCTGCACAATACTACAGTGTCGGCAATATAAAGCAAAAGTTTGCCTTTGTGTTAGCTATTTTGCCAAGAAAGGAAAATAACATATGAGGTGTCCCCAACAGATTACAGTTCTTGTTTTCCTTTTTTCCTTTTAAGTATGAATTTTTAAAGAAACTTTTACAACCAAATGCCACTTCAAACTGATAATTTAATCTATCGAACCGAATAATATTTTTTAGGGTAAAATTAAAAAATAGTTACTATTAAACTATTTTATGTTATATCTCAGAAAGGTCTCGTGTGAATTTAACAATGGTCAAATATCGTTAACGTAGCTCTAAATAAATTTCAAAGATATGAATGAACATTGTTCCAAAGATGAGGAACAAGCATTTGCACATGCTTAATATTTATGGATCATTGAAGAGATTCTGATGTTCTAAAAATTTCGCAACTAAGTTCATGTTATGTGGTTGTGTCACCTTTTTAATTTTTAAGAAGTGGACACATTCAATTCCGAATTGACAGTTTTAGCACCACTCTTTAGAAAAATATATAGTGACCGATTCGAGGAAAATTTCTATTGATGAATGTCTCTTTTTTCTAAGTCTTAGGCTTACTATTACATATCTTTCCTATGTTCGTGTATTAATAAGTCATTTGTCTTTTCCATCCTATTAAGGGTCAGTTTGGTATAGTGACTTGTAAAAGTGTTGATGCAACGAACTTTTAAAAGTGTTGTAGAAACGAACTTTTAAAAGTGTCGTAAAAACGAACTTTTAAAAATATTGTACAAAAGTGCAATATAAAATTTAATTGTTTGAGATTACCATTAAATAGTGAGTTTGAAAAGATAAATTGTACATTATAAATATTATGTCTAAATTAAAAACATAATATTTAAATTATATTTACACTAATATATGAATCATATCAATTTAAACTATAATAAATTCAAAAAATATATTATTATATGTGAATTTTAAGATATCAGGTTATTGTGAGTAGAACTCAAGTTTAGAAGTACACATTTTATTATTAAATTTTGAATCTTATTATCATTATAATTAGAATCTAATTTATAAATTTATATGTTTATAATAAAAATATTTTACGTAGTTCCAATGGATGTCCTATACTACCTATGCTTAGTGTTATATGGGATATATGACATGCAGTTATGTCTCTTATCTATTATATTATTGTTGAATGACATACGAGTGAGTGTGTGCTTCGCCAATTTGATTTCGAACAATTTATTCTAGAACCAACCATGAACTTCAATAATTTGCATAACATTGCCAAACGAGGTAAGATTGATGTTGATTGGGAAGAAAGCCCATTGAATATGTTGATTGGGAAGAAAGCCCATTGAATGGATAATGATGTGGGAGAACTGTTATAATTATATTCTTGACCGTCGTCCTTTCTGGACCACTTATTTTAAGATTTCGTTTGATTACATGTCATGGTTTAATGAACATGAGAAGCTATTCATATTTTTTTGATGAGATAGGAGGTGAGTATATTTATCGTTATCAAGAAAAACGTGAATCGATGTAATATCACCGTCCCCTCGACTAATTGAGGAAGAAGAAAAAACACATACAATCTGTCCTTGTCAGTAACATCGAAAACAACACAACATCCACCGTCTTAAATGATGCAATATTCATTGAGTTATATTTCGAGTCTGATGGGTTATATCCCGAGTCTTTCGGATTATATGCCATAACGCCAAGTCTGCTGGGTTATATGTTGAGTCTGCCAGATTATATGTCGATTCCATATGAGGATATTACGCTCTTATGGACCTTATATTTGTTTCATATGCATCGTACTAATGCGTGGTGATTCTTCACCAACACCACCACTACATTTAGCCCAGTCAGTCCAATTGATGATGTTATTTTCTTGTGTGTGTGATTTTCTTACAATTCTCATTGAACGGTAGGATCATTGATCATACACCTTTGCATCCGTTATTCTACAATGTTCATTCTTCGGTGACGACTCTAGCACCACAAGTTGAAGCTAATGTTGGTGAAAATGATGAAAACAATTATAATGAAAATCAAGTTGAAGCTAATGTTGATGAAAATGATGAAAACATTTAAGATGAAAATTATGTTAAAGAATAATCTATACGAAAAATCTTGTTCGAAACAAACAACAACTATCATGTGGAACTCATAGGCAAAGAAGGCATGCTAGATTTTATTATTATTTTAATGTTGTATTAAGTTTGATGTCAAAAATTTATTAAATGTATAAATATTTTGAATTAAATGTTTAATGTTATATTAAAATTTTATTTTATAATATTATATTTAATATTTTTATAATATGTCATCAAGAATGCATTTTGTGTCGTTGGATAGTCACATAAGAAAAAGATATTTTTATGGAAAACGTCTTTGTCGACTCGAATACCATCTCGGTAAAGCACTTTCTATATATATAAAAAAATTCAGTGGTGGAAATAAATGTCAAGATTGAGAATTAATCTTTGATAGGTGTTATATTAAAAAAATAATTATTTGAGGGGGGTATATTTGAGTAAAAAATCATAATTTTGATCGAGAATTATAGGATTTAAATTTAGATTTTTTTTTAGTTTTTTTAGACCAATGAAATTGTAACCTTCCATCGGAAGGATACTTTCAAACGCGCGCGCTATTGAGCGCTCGATAAGAGTAAAAAGGGCGGTGACAACAAAGGGAGAGCACCCTTGCACTTAAGCCGAACAAGCACGGTCCCTCTCTCCATTCACCAAAATTAGTGCAGGAGGCTGAGGTTTCAAGCTCTAATTCCAGCCCTTGCCATTCCTCTTCCTCTATCTCCTCACGCTCTCTAGCACAAAACCCTCTCCCCTCCTAAAAAATCGAAGCCCTATTTCCACTTAGATTTATGAGCTGTTTGTTTGGCTCTGAATGTAACCATTCAACGCTGAATGTTGAACCGTTTAGCATTCAGCGCGTTTGTTTCTCGCCTCTGAATGATTAAGTTCTGACTGATTCAGCACAGAAGTACATTCTGAATGATTCAGAGCCATTATCAAACAGCATGTCATATTCAGAGTTATTTCATACAGAGCCTCTGAATCATTCAATATTTGAATCATTCAACGTTTAATCATTCTAAAATAAACAAACAACCCCTTAGTCTAATTGAACATTTCTCCAATGACAGGATTTCGGATTTACCATTTTTGGCTGTGTCGCCTGTACGCCAATGTCAGATTCTCTCTCTTTCACTTTAGTTTCAATGGTTTACGTTAGTCGTTAAACTTGAGCTGAAATTTCGATTTCTGGAAAGTGTTTTGCTTCAAGAAAGTACTCAGTTCAACTCTTTTCACTCATAAGAATTTCATGCATGTAAAATTAAACCTATGGTTATGAGTCTTGAAAGCGTGCTTGTGGATTGTGGTAACAGGGTTGCGGCCTGAGAGCTATGAGGGCTAGATTGGCAAGGAAGAGAAGGGTTAATCGGCGCGTGATGCAGTCACTGATAGCGTCACGAGTTGCAGCTGCCGAGATGGAGGAGCAAATCCGGAGGATCAGGGAAGAGATGGAGCTACGGTTTCTAGCCGATGTCCTTGATGATCTGTGTGTTATTGATTGTCTCATTGAGGTTGAAAATGACCCTCAGATGTGAAACGCTTTCGAAAGGATCAGTTCTCAAAATCTGGGTAGGAGGAACACTCTCAGTATGAATCGACCTCGTAATTCTTTTTTGTAATATGGCGTTGATAAACTTGTGTTTAATTTCAAATTAAATATGTTTAGTAAATCACAAATATTGGCCACAGTATTTTGACATCCATGCTGGATCAAATAAGTGGACAGAAACAATCGATTCTTTTTAAAATTTTAAATTTTTATATAATTTAATTATTTTTTTTATATTTTTATTAATAATTTATTTTATTTTCTTAATATATAAATTACATTAAATATGAGTTTTGTTTTTGAATATGTGATTTTTAATTATTTAGTTTATATCAAGACAGGATAAAAAGATATCAGTATAATATTATATTTTCAATTAAATTAATGTTAGATTGATCCACGACATCAACTCAATCAAAATTTTAAAAAATAATTTCAATAATTTTTATTATAATTATATTGATATTATAAAAAATAGGTTAATGGTATGTGAAGTTCTCAAAATTTTTCAAAAAATCAATTTAACACTTGAATTATTTTTTTACTCCCCTCAAACTCAAAAAAAAAAAAATTAATATAACCTTTTGACCAATGATTTTTGTCATTAACCACTACGATGTTGGCTTGATAATTCAAAGTGTTGATGTCAAGATTCACAATACCGACATAGTGATCCACGTCGGTTGATGACATGACAAACAAGACTAAATTGATTTTTTAGTAAGTGTAACTGTCAAATTATTTTTTTTAAGTTCAAAGTTCATTTAACTTTTTTGGCTAAAAGGGTATTTGAGGTCCATGTATTTTTCAAAAAAAAAAAATTAATGTGGCCCTAGAATGTATTTGCACTCAATGTGACCCTCAAATTAAGAAAATGAACCACATGAGGCCCTTTGACTAAAAGTTTTCATTTTGACCGTTACGAAGCTAATGTGACACTTCAATTTGCTAACGTGATGGTCTACAATATTGACATGACAGTCCACAATAACTGGTGACGTGACAGATGAGTTAAATTAGTCAAATACCATATTAAGTTCTTTTTCTAAATCCGAAGACTACATTATTATTATTAATATTATTATTGAAAAGACCATATCATGGATTTTCCTCGTGAAGTGCCACATCAACATTGTAATAATCAACGGTAAAAACCGTTAGTCAAAGATCATGCTAAGTTATTTTTCTAAATTCACATTAAATGCAAAAATCAAGGGACACATTATTATTATTATTATTATTATTATTATTATTATTATTATTGAAAATAACAGGAGCCTTTGGTACCTTTTGCTTTTGTTCTTTTATGTTTGGACAAAAGTCTCGTAGTCGCAGGCTTTTATCAGAAGCATTCAGATGGAACTTGAACACAATTAAATTGATTCAAAGGGTTGAAGGAATGCAAGAAAAAATAATTCGATCCAAGTAAAACTACAAGGGTGTAACCGTCCA